AATATGGCGTCCAAACAAAAGGTCAATTAATGTCCCATGATTTAGTCCACACAATAAAAAAAAATCATAAAAGTAATGAGCTCTTTCACTAAAATTCAAATACTTATTTTAAGTATAAAATCCCAAAGGAGGGACTATTTTAGGCATATATACCAAAAAAAAATGTTCTACAAGGTTAAATAAGTTTTCCTACGACTGCCTCTGAAAATGGAGTTTTTCGCACGCTAGGCAACCTCTGAAATTAGAGTTTTTCGCACAGCGTGCGAAAAAGTTTTTCACACGCATTTTAGCGTGCGAAAAGGTTTTTCACACGCTCTTCAGCGTGCGAAAAAGTTTTTCGCACGCTTCAAGTTTTCTAACAAATGAAAATTACATATTTGGTTGTTTTATTTTGCAGTTGTAGGAAAAGCATTGTAAAAAACTCGTTTGAAAACCTTTTTTCACACTTGCTCGACTTGTGGAACTCGCCTACGGCTCGGTCCAACAAACTGTCTCGCCGTGCGAAAAAAGTCATTTTCAAAACTTGTTGTTTAAATAACTATTTTTACAGGCATTTGAAAATGGCCAAATTCAAACCGATTTAAAGGCGCCAACATCGCTCCCATGCACACGATACAAATACAGAAATCGGATTTAGACTACAAAAAAAAAACACGCACATCAGAATTTGCTGAAATTTGGCAGAAACATTCCTTGATCGATTATCTAGAGAATAGTGCAGTTAGATTTTCCATATTTCGAATTTTTTTTTGGCCTATATTGTGAAAATGAACTAAAATCTGTTTTTTTTTTTAAGATAAAAGTCAAAATGACATTATGTTGGCATTACAATGTGAAAATGTCAATGCTTTCAAATTAATAATGTAGAAAAGGCTTGTGTTGCCAACATAGTTACTAAATTTTTGACATGGGGAATTATCTTTAAATAAAATACAAACTTTATTTTCCAAAAATAGAAATAACCACGGTAAAAATTGAAAAAATAAGAGCACTATTCTCTAGATAATCGATCAAAGAATGTTTATGCCAAATTTCAGCAAATTCTGATGTGCCGTTTTTTTTTTTGTAGTCTAAATCCGATTTTGGAATAAAATTACAGATAATTTGGCAAATATAGTTCAGGCTTTTTTCGAAGATGGCGCCACCAGTCAATTCGTGATGTCATAATTAGGCGTTTTCGAGAACCCCGAACCGTTGGAGCAGCAGCTGATGTAGGTTGTTCAGCGTTTCCAGAAAAGCCTATTGACAACAGAACCTCTTTCTCACCTTGTGTATTTGTTTTGTTTTTTATTATTGGTTTATAAAATAATAGACACAAAGCATGCTGTGCCATTAGTTTCCATTGAAAATAAATAAAGTACCTATTTTACGTACATACCTATGTATACATAAAAAAATTGGATCGTGTTTTGTAGGACAAAATGTCTTTGAAAAAATAAAAAGCTTCAATAATAATTATTAAAATTTATTTACAAAAGGTGGAAAGTGCTAAAATTAGAGTTTTTCCTTTGTGTTCTTGTATATTAGTGCAATAATAATATCCACCAATGCAGTAGAGCATTCCATTTAGGTATCTGGCGATTTGAATTTCTTTTACTGGCTCTTGAATCTTTCACCAATATCTGAAATTGTGTAAGACTCCTGGTAAGACTATTTTTTTATTATTCCTCCGAGTATTCCTCTATTTGTAAGCCCATTCATGTGCCAATTGCTTCCTGAAAATCTCATACCTACCACAACTAAACATACCACAAAAACAAGCTCTACAACAAAACATCACTTTTACAGAGTAGAACAAAATTTGAAGTCATATCAGGCATGGAAATACAAATCCCTCCATAATCCCATTAGCCAATTAGTGCGAACTGAGTGAAAAAAGTTGCACTGATTCTGCAAATTGAAATCGCTATAATATTTAAAATGATTTCATCTTGGCGCCATCTATAATTTTTTTTTAGAACTCAAATATAATTTGAAGGGGGGGCCGTTGCTGCCTTAAAACGCGCTGATTTGCCGACGTCACATAAATATTTTTATTTTTCATTTCGCATTGTTGTTGCAAGGAGCTGACCGGCTCGGCTGTGTTGGCGCTCTGTAAAGTATTGTAAAGGTTCGAATGCGCTGTTGTCACTTGTCACTAAATGTAGTGCAGCGTAAAATAAATAAATAAAACTAAACATAAAAAATTGTATTTAATTGTGTTTAAGCATAATTTAAAAAAAAAAAATTTTATAAAATCTTGAATCCATAACTAATTAATTTAACTACTTTTCATGAGATTTTGCCAACATTTCAGAATTAAATCTATTACAAATTTTCAATGTTGACAATTAGTGGCAACACGGTCAAATTGCGAGCTGCGACGTCATAGAAATAAATTCTGGGTTTTTATTTGGGGGTATTTCTTTTTTTTCTGTTTTCTCAAGAAGGACTATGAATTTTTCAAAAGTAAAAATACAGAAAATTTTGTTTTTAGTTGCTTTATCCAAATTTGCCAATTTCAAAAATTAGTGAAAGAGCCCATTAACCCAGAATTTCCAGGCTTCGGAACCGATCGAGTTTCCTGAAACTTCTCACGTTACTTTGGAAGAAAACCCGACAGTCCAAGTGATTACAGTAACGCAGAACGTCAACTTTATCGACATCCTTCTTGAATTGACTTCTACTTGATTTATCAATAATTGTCTTTCTCGAAGCCGCAAAAAAACCTAAATTTACTGATAATCTAACTTCTTTTGAACTTTATAACACGATGTTATTTTTTGTTAAACGTACTCGACAACTTCATTTATCAAAAGAAAGTTATTCTATTCGTGAAAATAAATCTATTCCCAAAGTTCTACTCAAATTAACCCCTTTTGTCGATCAACAAGAAATATTACGAGTGGGACGTAGACTCCAACATGCTCCGATTCCGTACGTTAGTAAATTTCCTGCTCTACTTCCCGGCCGTTGTACTTCAACTGATCTGATCATTCAATCTACTCATATCCAATATTTACATTCCGGAGTTCAATCAACCCATATTTTCTGATCCTTCAACGCTTTTGGATTGTTTCTGCTAAAAAATCAATTCGACGAGTACTTTCTAAATGCGTCAAATGCTGGAAGGTTAATCCAACCTCAATGCCTCCTATCATGAGAAACTTACCTCTGGAACATGTTTCTATTCACAAACCGTTTCTCTTCGTTGGCATCGATTATGTCGGGCCATTTGACATCACTATGGCTAGGGTCCGAGGATCGAAGGTTCTGAAATCATATCTTTGCTTATTTATCTGTACATAGGTACAGGGAAGTAAATAGGGTTTAAAGGAGGCCATACACGCGTGGATTAGAAATTATTATTGTGATAAACTTAAGCTATTGACAGACATCGAAAGTGAAGAAATTAGAAATTATAAAAGTGAATTTAAAAATTTTAATTAGTACAAACAAAAAATTGGACGACATACGAGTGTGGACGGACCAAGAGAGGACTCAACTCTAAAAACTAACTCAAACTTACTTTGAGGAGGTTATAATACGCCATGACTTATCTATTTTCTCTTTGTTTGGTAATTGTCACGAAAAAGTTTCTTTGAGCTATATCATTTCAATGTTCACCGCGATAAATCTTTTTTAGGGGACTTTCTCCGATATAGGTTGGCTATTGTTCTTTTTGGGGTTGTTGGGCATACAACTTTATTTGATTGGATGGAGTTGTAATGAAATAAAAATCCAGGTCTGGCCAAAAATTATATTATTTTCGGGTTAATTCGAATTCTATTTGTTAGAGTGAAGCGATTGCGGATGCTATTTATGCAAGTAAATGGTATTTGCTCAACAAAGAAGCCAAGCAGCTGACCCAAATTATAATTGCCCGAGCTCAACGTCCATTGCTGATGACCATTGGTCCTTTCGGACCAATGACGACCACTTCTGCATTAATAGTAAGAATTTTTTGTTTGAACTGCAATTTTCTACACATTTTTTCAACTTAACCTAAAAAACGTATGAATTAAAACAAAATTATGTTTTAATTTCAGGTTATTAAAGTAGCATACTCCTACATAAGTGTCATGAAGAAGTAACAGCCCTTAAAGATACATTACTTTATTGGCACAAGCTATAGTAGGTTGAAAAAGTTAGTGTTAAAATGACATGCATTTAATAAAGTAGTATGAAATAAGTACCTATACCTAATGTGTGTTTTTTGTTTCTATAGAGCCTAAAAAAGAGTTATTATTTAAAATCAGCAGACATATTATTATGATATCATTGGGGACTAATTGTTGCCACATAAATTTATAATGCAAAATGATTAGGCTATAAATAAAACAGACTCAACAAAATGTGGCATAACTTAAATATCTGAAAGATAATTTTTTTATCGATTTTTTTGGAAATTTCAAAATAGGTATATAATATATATTTAATTGAGATTCGGAATATTTAGTGGAGTAGATGCAGATAATTCAAGTCATTAAAGGCGATTGAAGGTATGTGAAAAATTTAGATTTGACGCAAGCCCGAAAATATTGAGCAGTTGCAGTTTTTAATCTACTTAATGCATTTAACCGTTCTTTAACGTTAAAGCCACATATCGACTTAAAAATAAAACGGATTAAACTAGACTTCAAACGAACTGTTTTTTACTTTCGTCTACTGAATTGAATCAATATCGAAGTTCTAGTCATCAGGATATTACGTTGACGCAAATATGTATACCTATTTGTGTCGTTTACAAACAACTAATTGAGGAAATGTTAAAAGGTAGGTAGGTACCCGCCTACAACTTCAAATTATTAAAATACTGTATTCGCCTTCTGTGAAAGCTATAAAATGTTATAGGATTATAAAGAAGTGACCTTTTAGGTTCTAATCAATAAATTAAATTAATCTAACAAAAAACATTATTATCGTATTATAGTGAATTCTTGATTGGGATTTCTACTAATCAACCAACTTGTTTTTTTTTTATTTGCTCAAGAAGGAAAATAATATGAATTAAGTAGTAGGATAATTTTTTACCAGTCTTTGTTTACCCGTTGTGCGGTGCGAAAATTAGTTGTTAGCAACAGTTTGTGAGTGGATTTAATAATATTTTCAATGTTAATGGTAAGTATTCGGTTTTTCTATATTTCAGTTGCCGATTTGTTTTTGCTGTTTTAATTAGCAATTTCTAGAAATCACCTGAATAATTGGAATTTTCGAAAAGTATATAACATTATTGAAAGTAAAGGGTTTGTATCAGGCACTAAAATGATTTTTTTTTCAGATTTGCTTTGTTGATCTCTTATAATATGCTCACTATTACGCTTTTCTGCCTATTGGTACACATACTAAAATGGTGAGTTTTTTTTTTGAAGCTTAAAATTTGGTGCTTATACCATACAGGGTGACAATTTGAAAACGACCAATCGGGAATATCTCTTAGACAAAAAATACTATCAGGAAGATCTCAACTACGTATCGGTGGATTGGAGGGGGAACCAAAATGAGGCACTTTTTGAATCACCCCGCCTCTCCCCTTAGGGGGTAGCTACCTTAACTTATTTTTTTTTAATACGAACCTACCTTATGATGCACATCGTTCGATAGCTCATTGCTATCCCTTTACAGTCATTTAGCAAAATCTTAAATCGGACGATTGGTTTTTGAGATATCGGTGTTTAAAAGCGAGCATATTTTGGAAACTAGTAATTTTGACTTTCTATTAGACAAAAGAATTCTGTCCTAATATTCTCAAATACACATCAGAGAACCAAATTTGTTTATTGCCTAACCCCCACCACACTCTTGTTTTGGGGGCTAGCCGCACCTTATAATTTTTCTAAAATGAGAACCTACCCCGTGTGATAGCTCCTTTGAAAGGTTTTTTATTCGCCTTTAGAGACCTGCAGACTGCAGAAGCAGTTAGAATTACGATAATCGCATTATTTGGTTTCGCCAATGTGTATTCGAGACTTTTATGACAGAATTTTTTTGTCTATGAGATAGTCAAAGCTACTAGTTTTCACAATGTGCTTACTTTTAAACACCGATATCTCAAAAACTAATCGTACGATTTGAGATTTTTCTATAGGACTGTGAAAGGATAGTAACGAGCTATCCAACGATGTACAACAAGGTGGGTTCGTATTTAAAAATAAAATAAGTTGGGGTAGCCACCCCCTAAGGGGTGAGGCGGGGTGACTGAAAAAATATCTCATTTTAGTTCACCCTCCAATCCCTCGACACATATTTGAGATCTTCCTGATAGCATTTTTTGTCTCAGAGATATACCCGATTGCTCGTTTTCACATTGTCACCAGTATACAATAATTTTCATAATTTTTTTACGTACCATTTCATTATTTGGCAACAATTCTAGTATAACATACGTTCGTTCAGCAAGATTGAACGGTTTAAATTTTTATCTCTTTTCAAACAACAAATCTTCTGAAAAACGAAATGAAAAACAAATAGGACCGACGTAGTGGAAACTTACTCAGTTTTACTTACTTAACATGCGCCCGACAATAGCAAATATCAGGGAAATTTAAGGGAAGTTATGATATGTAAAATAAACAAGAAATTTGTGAAACGTCTAATTTAATTTATTATTAGAAAATCGTACCGTTCTCGACCTAGAACTCACGAGGGGAAAGAGCACGACAGAGAAACCCTCGATCGAACATTCCTCAGAAATCAAAACAATTCAATCAACAAATCAAATCATTTAGGGAGTGAATCCTACGCCTACCGGTAGGTCCTTTGTTATCCAACAATCGTACGCCTACCAGTAGGTTCTTTTTCATCCACCGATTGTGCGCCTACTGGTAGGTCCTTTTTCGTCAATTGATCGAGCGCCTACTGGAAAGTGTGTTATTACTTTAGAATTCGTATGTCCTACCAGTCAGCTGTTGCTAAATACTTTAGTAAAATTTTGTTTTTTTGTAGAATTGACATCAAGAAATTCGTCCACTGAGTAATAAGCCTCTATAAGTACCTTAACATCTTTCTATCTTGGGCTTTAAACTTGTTGATGTTTGGAATCTGCTCTACTTCATTCCAGACGGCAACCTATTCAAAATCCTTCTGGCACGCACCTTGAAGTTATCTTTAAATCTTCGATTGCTCGCTACGCTCGCCAAACCTCAAAGAGAATGTTCTCAGAAATGTAAATCCACCAAAAACGAGAAAAACCTTCCACCAGAAACATAAAAAACCTTTATTAAATAATATAACGGCTTGAAATTTAAAGTATTTTTAAGTCTCTGATTGCTCGCTCCGCTCGACAACTTGAAAGAAAAGATTCTTGGAAGCGTGAATAACCCAAAAACGTGGAACACCATTTTTCAACTTTCTTGTAAATCATTTTTGAGTCTCCGATTGCTCGCTATGCGCTCGCCAAATCTCAAAAAGAAGATCCTTGGATACGTAAATGCACCAAAAACATGCAAAGTCTTTTTTTAAATATAGTACTTGACCTCGTACTTGACCTTGTATCTTATGCTCTAAAATAAAAGATTTTCTTTTCCTGATTTCAAAAATATACATATATTGTAGGTATATTGATGACATTTTGGTTGAGCTGAGCTGGAGCCCTTTTTGACATACTTTATCTTAGCTAATTGATTAGGTACAAGATTTGCATTTTTATAAAAATATCAAAAACTCATGGAAACAATGAAGTTGTTAACGTTGTCCTGTTAATAAATTTGATGTGTCGAAATTTCATTGTTACAATTTTTATTATTATTTCCATATATTAGGTGCCTATTTTTAATTAGTTATAACGGTGTAACAATATATACAGTGCGTCCCGCTTAAGGACTAACCACCCTTCGAAAATTTTCATTTTTCAACCCATTCAATTAATATTTTTTTTGTCTTATATCTACTCGAATTTGGCTCAATAATTTTATTTCTGCAGCTATACTGGTTCACAGGGTGTCCTCATTTATAGGCTCAAATTTCAATAAGTATACTATTAGGGATTTTTTTTGGAGAAATCTGATCGCAGATTCTTGTTTAGAATGGTCTAAAAACCAAATGTGCTAATTTTTGTTTCAATAGGTACGATACAGGATGATCACAACAAATTTTCACAATTTAATGAATCAAATCGCAAAAATGTTATATTTTGAGATAAGTTTACTACAAGTTTTGGTTAAGGATGTTCTAATTTGAAAATTTTAACCCTGTAACATATTGAAACAAAAATTAGTACATTTGGGTTTGAGACCATTCTAAACAAGAATCTGCTATCAGATTTTTTTCTAAAAAAATCCCAAATGGTACTTTATGGCTATTTGCTCGGCTATCACTTAAGGGATATTTAATCTAAGTAAAGCTTTGAATGTGACTTTTGTTTCTATAAGAGTCATATTCAAAACTCCACTGAGATTAAATTTCCCTTAAGTAGTAGCGGTGCAAATAGCTGGTAGGCGCAGGATTCTTAAATTAATGTAGGTGGTAGACGCTTTTTACTCATTGGGCGTCGACCGGTGAGATACCACCATGCCAGAATTGAGTAGCGCTAAGTGGTATCACCACGTTCCGCTACTGCGCTGGCAGTCCGGTTCCAACAATGAGTAACAGATAGCATGATGGCGCCTCCAGGATCAAAATATTCCGGAGGTAAAATACCCGACCACTCGGATCTCCGGGCGTCGGGTGATCCTGGGGGTCCTTCATGCAAAGATATAAAAAGATCAAAAACTCAACTCAGAATTAATTTTAGCAATATAAGAGGAATAAGTACAAATATGAATTCAGTTCACCAACATCTTGAAGAACAAAGACCTGACATCCTTGTTCTCACTGAAACTAAAATCAGTTCTGCAACACCTATTGTGAACTATCTTTATCCCGGCTATGACCTACACCACCGATTTCGACATAATTTTGGGATCTGTGTGTACATTAAAAATGACCTTTCATGTCATCGAGAGGAGAAGCTAGAACCAGCGAACCTTGATATCATATGGCTAAAATTCACCTCAAAGTCATCGACCAAGTTTATCTGCTGCCTCTACCGACCGCCAAGTAACACCGATTACCAAAACTTTTTCGCGACATTATCCGAAAGCTGTGATAGTATACAGTCAAACTATCCACAGGCGGAAATTGTCTTTTTAGGCGATTTCAACGTCCATAATATACCCTGGCTGAAACACCACAACAAAACAGATAACGAAGGCAGAGAAGCAGAAGCTTTTGCCATAAGTTGTGGTCTAACGCAGCTTGTCGATGAACCTACCCGTATCTCAGAAAGGGGCGAATTTGCAGCGCTTTTAGACTTGTTCCTAACCACCAATCCTGACTCGTACACAATTCAAGTAGATGCTCCACTTGGTTCGTCCGATCATAAACTTATAATAACAAAGTGCGAAATGCTCATCCCACCAAGCCTACAACCACTTCCTCGTAAAATGTGGCACTATAAATCGGCAAAATGGAATGACCTAAAACAGTATTACCTGGATTTTCCATGGCAAGAGGTTTGCTTTAAAACAGCTGATCCCACTATTTGCTGTAATGAAATAACACAAGTAATCTTATCTGGAATGGACGCATATATCCCACATACAACTAAACGTAGAGCTAATGCAAAACCTTGGTTCAACAGCCAGTGTCAAACGGCTGTACAGAAAAAACACAGAGCATATAACCTTTGGAAACGACAACAAACCGCTCAAAACCACACAGAATTTATAGAAGCCAGAAATAGTTGCAAAATTACTATTGACTCCGCTAAAGAAACATACAATCAAAGAATAAAAAACAGGTTGCTGAATTGTCCAAGTAGTTCTAGGTCTTTTTGGTCTCTTGCAAAAGCTGTTGGATCTAACTTCACCAAGTCATCCATACCACCACTTACAGATAAAAATAATCACTTAGCCACAACATCAGAGGAAAAAGCCAATATGCTTGCCCAAATGTTTTCCTCCAACTCCAACCTAACAGTGCCAAACGGAAAAACTCCACCGTTCATTGAAAGGGTTTCCCATAGTATGCCAGAGGTACACTTTTGTCACAGAGAAATACGAAAATCCCTAAAAAAGCTGGATACAAACAAAGCAATGGGTCCGGATGGCATTCCCGCAATAGTACTCAAAAATTGCGCCAACGAACTCACCCCAACTTTCGCTAAATTATTCAATTTGTCTTACAGGCAAGGAGCATATCCATCATCATGGAAGTCTGCCGCAGTACAACCCATTCCAAAGAAAGGAAAAAAGACAGATCCGTTAAACTATAGACCAATTGCTCTACTTCCGGTGATATCAAAAGTAATGGAAAGAGTTGTGAACAATCACCTAACCAAGTACTTGGAAAAGTACAAAATTATCAACGATAAGC